ACCCACAGTATGACTGTAAAATCAACATTTCTCAGTAACCATCCTATATTAAGCCTAGCGCAATACATCATTCGATGCGCCATGAAAAGTTCTACAATATGTGTTAATAAGAAGCTTAACGAAGTGGGGCAGCATGTTTTATAAATTTAATACTAGACTTTTCCATCGGTCGTGGCTATACCACGGGAACTCTTTGTCACCTTTTTCTATGAAACTAAAGATGATCCCTAATCATTCATATACTATTCGATGCGTTTTGGAAAGTTCCACAAGATGTGTTAATAGGAAACTTAACAAAGCTTGTCAGCGGCTTTTGTGTATTAAATCCTTCGCCACTTAAAACTACAGTGGGTTGAAAAATTATTCGTCCATCTTTATTTTTCCTTTTTCTCGTCAACCATAATAGCTAAAACAAATTTGAAAAAAGATCTGAACAGCTGAAAGAACTTTTTGATCTGTTGTGCTGTATAGAAAGGTCCTATGAAAACTTCTGAAACTAGGATCTCTCGAAAACCCAAATTTCAGAAAACCAAGTCCACGAGTTCAATCGAGAAATTCTTTGCAAGTAACTCCGTCGTGTAGAGCAAACATTTCTGAACAAAATGAGACGTCTCCGAGCTCTGTGCCGCATTTTTTCATGAAACAGCATTCGATTTACGGAAGGTCCTAAGGGCGCATCTTTGCGGTAATTGAAATTTGGGTTTTCCAGAGATCCTAGTTTCAGAAGTTTTTATAGGACCTTTCTATAAACACTTTCAGATCAACGAAACATTGGTTATCAGCCACTTTTTTTCGTTCTATTGTGTTGACTAAAAAAATTTCCACTCAATAATTCAAAGACAATTTGATCATCTGTAGTAGTCTGTCTTTGTTGTGATTTATTTGTTGTTAGTAGGGTACTCCAGATAACGTACAGTCATTTTCAATCGGAATTGTTTATCACAGACGTATTTTCTGACATTTTTTTGTTTCGTTTTTATCTAGATCGCCCATCACAGTGCACAAGACGAATGGAATGCCATTAAGAAAAACGAAGAACATGTACAAGAGAAAATTGAAGAATATTTGGAAATTTATCAGCGATCAGGTGCATCTGGTTTAGGCGATATAAATCAACCACCACAGACAAAAAAGAAAAAATATCCGAAAAAGAAAAAAGCAAAAAAACGAAAACGTTCTGATAATTCAGACATTGACGAAGCACAAATACCCGTTATCGAAGTTGAAACAGCCATGACAACTCGAAGTCAAACAAATGGTGAGTTATTCTAACTAGTAAATCTGTTCCTCTCTAATTAACGTTTTCTTACTAGGCACTAATGGTGAATTCAGTGGTCCACCATCAAAAATCTCGACACTATCGGTTATTACTCCTAATATAACAACTGCACAACAAAAACAGTTACAGTCGAGAAAAGCCAAGAAAATTCGTGCACCAGCTCAAGAACTCGTCTCTATCGAATTGACCGAAGTGAACGAGAAAATTGTTAGTTTAATTCAATTGAAAAATATGGGTTTGGCCACAGACGATTCAAAAAGAAATTTGAAAAAATTATTTGCCGAACGAAAGAAGAAATCAAATGAACTCAAACGTTTAAAAACGGAGCAAGTACGAAAAGCAAAATTTCGTCAGAAAAAGAAACAAATCGTCGAACAATTGTGTGAGAAAAATCCAGAGATTGCTGGCGAATTAAGCAAAATTTATCGAACGACAATTGGACGTCCACCAATTGAAGAACAATGTCCAGATTTGCTTCAAATTATCGAGGAAATTGCCAAATGTGGTGGTGCAAGTGATGATAAACGACGATCGGAACAAATACGACCATGTTTGACATTGGATGATTTAAGAGAGAAAATTAAACAGCGTGGCTATGACATTAAACGATCAACATTATATTACAGGTATGCTGCAATTATTAAGAAAACTCTTTCATAGCGGAAAACATTGATAAGTACAGATATCAATGCGGCTTGTCCACGTAACACGATACTTCGTTGATTAAGTTTTTAAAAAGTTTTTTCCATTCTGGAAGTGGTTCAAACACGCGCCAGACGCAATTTTTCACGCTGAGTACGAATCTCGTGTTCTTTTAAAACAAAATTTTGTTTTTCAGCGAAAAAAATTGAGTTCAAGTCTTTAAAAAAGTTTAATTTCAATTTTCTGACCTAGAAATGTTGTCTAAAAACTATAGAAAATACACCAGTCGATAGACAATTAAATTCTCTACAAAATGGCTCATTTTGTTTTGACAGTGAATTTTTTCGCCGAGTACCAGGCTTTCCAGAGACTTCCAGGTTTCGCGCTATTTTCCAGTCCGGATTTGAAGTTTAGAGTGCCAGTTCTCCCATAAATCGTGAGTACCTAGCAAGAGCTCTGGTAAAGATGAAAATAAAGTTCTTTTGGCCGTGCTGCGTATCAGGGGCTACTCTTCCAAAAAAGAGTGTCACAGCATCACGGTAATAAAATAACGTTTCTGCGATCCACGAGGATCCTGGAATGAAATTTTTTTACTAACGTGTAGACCGTTCTCTCCTCGACATAACCACCCATGTGCTGAAAATCGCTTCATTTTTGTCGATTAATCGCGATGGTTGAAAAAATCGACGCTCAATCGCGATTTCGGAAAAAATGGTCATTTAATCGTGATTGAGTGATAATTTTTTTGTGCATCACGATTAATCGATGACTTTGTCAACCATCGCGATTAATCATGAAAATCATCAATTAATTGTTGATTTTAACTGATTAAATGGTTGTTGTTATTCACCGTTCTTTTACAATAAAGTTTGTACATAAGAAACACGATTTCAGCGAAAAATACACTTATATTCAGATAATCTATTTATTTTAGAATACAACGGAGTTGTCAAGAGTCTTCTCTATTGTTCCTTAGAGCTTTAAACCGACAAGCCCACTGAACAGCTGGTATGTGGGTAATGTTTAAAGCTGACTCGTCGGCAAGACTCCGACGCGAGCTGGTGCTAAGACCGTTGCTGTGTGACGCACATGTCATTATACGTAATAAACAATGAAAACACAGAAAAAAATATGTATTTCCTAAGATGGGTTCGAACCTAGTACCTAGAAAAAAATCGGCAATTAATCGCGATTAAGCGCACGATTAATCGTATGATTTTTCACGATTAATTGCCGATTTTTAATACATGAGATTCGACGCAGCTCAACGCCATCTATCTCCAGTAAAAAAGCAGAAAATTTGGTTTGAGTTTAGCAGTTTTATAAAAAATTTCCAGAGCAAGTCACTGTGACAAAAAAAAGACCTTTTTTCTTGGGTATCTGAGGGTTTTTTGAAAATTTTCACGGAAGCTCACCGGTGAAAATTTTTGTTTGCAAGCGCCCATATACTAAAAATTGGATAAAAATCGGCAATTAATCGTGAAAAATCATACGATTAATCATGCGCTTAATCGCGATTAATTGCCGATTTTTAGGCGATTTTAGCGATTAATCGCAATTAATTGACGATTTTTTCTAGGTACTAGGTTCGAACCCATCTTAAGAAATACATATTTTTTCTGTTTTTTCATTGTTTACTACGTATAATGACATGTGCATCACACAACAATGGTCTTAGCACCAGCTCGAGTCGGAGTCTTGCCGACGAGTCATTGTCCACAACCAGCTGTTCAGTGGGCTTCTCGGTTTAAACCTCTGAGGAACAATAGAGAAAACTCTTGACAACTCCGTTGTATTCTAAAAAAAAAGTTTTTCAGATAAGAGCGATTTAGTGTGTAAAAATCAGTTAGAATTTTTTTTCCACTTTTTTATGCTCGTTCGATAGAGCTCATCGAAAATAGATTTTCGGAAGACATTTTTTTATGAAAACATTTTGTTTCGAAATTAGTGGAAAAAAACCATGAAACTGAACTCATATTTCTCCGTTTCCTTTATCAAAATTCAATTTTTGGACAAAAATAATGTCATTTTCGGAATCAGCGTTAAACACTGAGTTGAAACATGTGTGTTTCAGAATTTTTAGATAATTTTGGATTTCGATTGAAAATCCTGACTTTTGGAGAAAATCGAGAAAAACTGAAAAAACACGGACTACTTTAAACTTGCCGAAACATAGATGTTTCAACACGATTTTTAATGCTTATTCCGCAAATGACATTATTTTTGTCGAAAATTTGAGCTTTGATAGAGGAAACGGGAAAATACGAGCCCAACTTCCAGGATATTTTCACTAATTCCAGAAAAATTGAATTTCTGGACAACAAAACAAAATTTTCCAGAATGGATACCTGACTTTTATCCCACAGGTATATCGACCAGAATGAAGCAAAAGAGAGAATTTTATCTTCTAAATCCTAGGGTAGGTTGGCAAAACTGCCTGGCAGTCCCGTTACCATTCTGCTCGTGTTTCACAAAGTCTGAGTCCATTTTGGCTTCTAAAATTCCCAAAATTAGCTTTCTCACACTCAGTTTTTGGTAAAAAAATGGCTTTGGAATTCTAAAGACTGACAAACATGAAAATTTTGTTTATTATTCAAAAATTCCATCATTTTTGCAAATCAATATTTTAAATTTTTTCTTATCTATTTTCTAAGTAATTTGATGAATTCTATCCAATTAGTACAAAATTTCTGCTGATTGTTTCGAATTTCCTGAATCTTATTAAGTCGACACTTAATACGCTTTTTTACAGGGAATCCTAAGGCGCATCTTTTGCAAAAAAGTTTACTCTTGACGATGTAAAAAACAAGTTATGATCCAAAGTTTGTATCAATACACGACGTAACTCATTCTTTATGGAACACCTATTCTGTGCTTTGTTTCTTTCTGCCAGAAATCAGAAATCGTTTACTTTTTCACTTGAAACGAAATATACTTTGTAGAGAGATATAATATGATCAATGCGACCGTATGATTAAATTTTTTTCTTAATAGAAGAGCGTATATAGAGCGATGTTGACTGTAACACAAATAAAAAAAAGGTTGTAATCAGATAATGTTACACGATTGAACACATTCGTATATAACTTCATTAGGGTTTTAATAGATGTTATATATGTTATACATTACTATACCCAAAATTTAAAAAGTTAATGAAAAAATGCATGACAACCGATGGAAAAACTATTCGCGGTGGCTTTTGATGTGAAAAAATTTGAACTGTAGCTAAAAGATAGAGCGAAGTCAGGGCTACAAAATGGCTAGTTCAGTTTTTCTTACTTTCAAAATGTTAACACAGGAAATCATTTTTCAGTTTGGAAAGTTTTCATTTTGTTCAACTTTCATCTAATTGGCTTAGCTTTCTTAATTGAAGTTCTGAAATTATAGTTTAGATATGATTTTGTAGAGTATATCGCACCGCATCTTTTAAAAAAACATAGAGCCTCGGAAACAAATTCAAACTAAGCTATAAGCAAAATACTGACTCCGCCATTTATTCGGGGTCATCCGTTATATTAAAAACGTACAAGTTATTAAATTTTCCTTATATATGTGACCTTCAATAGTATTGCAAATTCTTACTTCTATTGCTCTGAATTCTTGTCAAAATTATTTTCTATCATTATAGATTATTGCCTCGGCGTCCAACATCAATTGATGGCCGTCGTCATGTCCGTACTGTACCAGTTCGTCTTCGTCGTGCTCAAAACAATGATCATGGAAAACATGAGGGTACATTTGAAATATAACTTTTATTATGAAATTACGAATAATTATATTTTCATTTATCTGTTTAGATGGTCATTTTGCAACAGCCACTATTCGATACATCAAAGATTTGGCTGGTATATTTGGCAATGATGTTGTATTTTTCCTATCACAAGATGATAAATGTAAAGTTCCCATTGGATTGCCCGCTGCCAAAATTCAAGCACCAATGTTAATGCATTTGGACTATGCCGTTAAACTACCGGATCATGATTGGACAGTAGCCCCAAGACATCAATTGACACCATCGGTTTACGCTGCGTGCGTCATTAATCCAGATGGTGATGTTGGTTATTCGGGACCGACGTATATTGCCGTTCGATCAGCAAAACATGATCGTTCTGATGCACAATCACATGCAAAAGATTTTGATACACTTGTACAATTAAAAGAATTTGAAAAAGTTTGCAGAGATTTAAATGGAAATATAAAACCGATTGTAAGTGAATCAAGTAGTATAAAATATGCTTAAATCTATTTCATTTTTCTTTTATAGGTTATTGTTACTGTTGATGGTGGTCCAGATGAAAATCCTCGTTTTCCTAAAACACTCATGGCTGCCATCCGTAAATTTCGTCGATATAATTTGGATGCTCTATTCATACTGACTCATGCACCTGGACAATCAGCGTACAATGTTGTTGAACGTCGAATGGCACCATTATCACACGATTTAGCCGGTCTCATTTTGCCACATGATCATTTCGGTACACATTTGAATGATAGTGGAATAACAATTAATACCGAATTAGAAAAGACAAATTTTAAAAAAGCAGGCGAAGTATTGGCAGAAGTATGGCGAGGATCAGTAATCGATGATTATCCGGTAGTAGCAGAATATATTGATCCACCAGCAACTACAGATAATGAACGACGAGTGGTTGATGTTACATTTGTCATGGATAATCTATTAAAAGCGTATGTAGATTGATATTTATATTTATTTTTAGCTAGAATACTATATGTTTATCTTTGATTTTTTTAGTATTTGTGCCGAAGAAGAAGCCGAAGAAGGACATGAATTTCGTATTCATGCCTCAGATGAATATTATCAAGAAAAAGCACGTCTTCGACAAATAATACATGATGAGGAACTAGTGTTACAAAATGGAAAAGAACATACAAAATATGATATTGATGAATATTGGTGTGCCACACATGTTTTACAAACACAATATACCATACAAATTGTCCGATGTAATAATGCACTGTGTTGTGGAAAATGGAGATCAAATTATGTACAAATATTTCCACATCGTTTCCTACCACCACCCGTACCATTTGAACGAACACCTTATGGTAAAGAATGATATTCTCTTTATTTCTGTTGTTAATAATAGTCAAATTATCCTTTTGTGTATTATTTAGGTATTCAAATGGCTGATAAAGATTCGTTAAAAAATCAGTTTTATGGTTCATTATTTCATCGTATACAATTTCATGGTGTTGTAATTAATCATACAAAAAATGACATGTTACCATTTGATTATTGTTGTTCATCAGTTAAAAAAGAATTAAAAAAACGTATTTGTAAAATATGTAAGCAATATATTCCATCAGCATATAGAATGAAACAACACTATAAAATACATCAACAATATCAACAAGATTCGGATGAAGAAGGAGGTGAGAATTCTCTCTGTTTTTTCTCTCTTATTAGAAAAATATTATTTTCTTTTCTCGTTTTTTTTCAGGTACAGATGATTTATTTGATTTGATGGCTGCTAGTGAAAAAAATGTCACCGAACCAGCAATACCAGAAGGTGCTGTCATCTTCAATGATATGTTAGATTGGTTAAAATCAGATTTTGAAGAATTAGATTTACAAGAGCAAAAGGCTTTAAATAATTTAAAAGCTACATCGAAACGAGAAAAATCAACAATGAAACTGCGTTCTAATTCAACGACTCATCTAACAGCTGAACAATTGGAAAAATTAAAATTAAATGAAAATGGTCATATGAATGGAAAAGATGAAGAACAAGAAACTGAATGTGATGGTGTAGAAGAAAATGGTGGTGATAATGATATTGATGCTGATTGGACGCAAGTGGATATTTAGTGTATGTAGAGAAAAGTAAAAAGAAAGCTAACGAGGAAACCTATACAAGTGATACCTTCCGATTTCCTTCGTTCATACGTCGATCGATAGGGGGTATCAAGCTAGTAAAATGCCTAAAAGGATATTTCCCCATGACTCTTGAAGACCTGGTTTTCTTCTGGGAAATCAGTTTTTCAGAAACACCAAAAGAAATAACCAAAACCTTTCTTAACGAGACATAATTGTAGCCCGCGAATTTCTGATTGAGATGAGACATCTTCCAGTTCTGCACGACCTTTCTTTGCAAAGTTATAGAATTTACAAGAAAAGCCCTAAATTCATTTCTCCTTATTCTTTTAGCTTTGACCTAACAATGAACATTTAGGACTTCTGTTGTAAATTGTATAACTTCACAAAGAAACATCATGTAGAGCTGGAAGATGTCTTATTTTAACAAGAAATTTGCGGGCTACAATTATACCTCATTAAAAAGGGCTCTGGTTATCTTCTAGAATTTCTGAAAAACTGGTTTTCCAGAAAACCGAGTCTTCGAGAGTTATGGGGAAAACTCTTTTAGGCTTTTTACTAGCTCGATACCCTCTATCAATGGACGTATGAACGAAGAAATCGGAAGGTATCGCTTGGATAGGTTTCCTCTTAAGCGTTGTACATATCCTGACAATAGTACCTTCTCACAGAAAGGAAATTAGTTAAAAAAGACATTAGTTCAGTGACGGATGCTAAGAGAGTGGAAAAATGTTCTAATGGGTTCCACCAACATTTATCTACTTGATTAGACTTGAAAAAAATCACAATATTTATGGTTAAAAATGATATCTTTTATTGTTAGATAATGAGATACATATGTTTTTCTGTGGAGGGTTGACTCTCAGCTATTCTTTTACTTTGGTTTTTTTAAAAAAAAAAGTTGTGTTTGTACATTTCTCAGCTCTAATGCACATATTTCTTAAATTTCTGTTGTTAATTTTTAGTTATTGTAGTCATTTATAGTTTGCTTTTTATACATTTACAAGAACTAAAATAACTTGTTTTAAATCATTTTAGCTTGCTTTATACTTCTTTTAGAATAGACTTTGTTCTTTTGTTTCTTTGTGCTAAATATGTGATTTTTTTAGATGATATCAAATTATGTTGCATGTTCTTATACAATTGTTTGCTTTTCAATAAATAATGAATGAAAAAGATGAATGTTCTCATCTGTATACGTGTCAACATTTTATTTTCGACTGATAGAAAATGAATAAGAAAACGTTTCCAATTGTTCGTTCAGTTTGATACTGATAAGATTCTTATTAGAATCTCAGCAGTTTCTTATGTAAGGTTGTTTAAGTTTTCTCATCGACAGTCGCAAGTGTCTTATAAGAATTTTAAGATTTTCAAAAGGGGTTCGTAAGAAATTCCTAAGAAGTACCAAAAATTCTTATGTTATTCCTATTCACTAGAAGGCAGCTTATGAGGTGGTTTTGCCAATTTCTGTTATGATTAAGTTGCTTCTATTGGCTGGAAAACTTCATAAGAATTTTTGGTACTTCTTATGAGTTTCTTACGAAACATGTATGAAAATCTTATAAGATTCTTATAAGACACTTACGCTTGCCGATGGGAAAACTTAAATAATCTTATATAAGAATCTGATAACATTCCGATAAGAATCTTGTAAGACACTGGTAAGAGACATAGACGTTTATGGTAAGACTTTTATATAAGAATCGATGTCTAGGACGTATTCATTGTTCTTTTGTTCCTCACTTATATGCTAGTTCAAATTTGTTTATTTTTACTGCGAAGAAACTTCAAGCTTCGCTTTTTATTCTGAAGTCGTTTTTATATAATAGGCTTTCTGTTTATCTTACTAAAGAGCAAGGGATTGTACTCAACTGTTTGTTTTTCAATGCTTGCTTCTAGTTTGAAATCGTTTGGACTCTAGCCTTAAAGACGAATGGACTAGGGATAAGCGACCATGCTGAGTCTTGTGCCAATATTTGTTTTTAGAAAGAAAATCAATGCATCCTTATGTGAATTTCGGCAAACCCAAGCTAGTTTTCCAAACATCCTCTGAAAAACTCACTTCAGAAGTTTTTCTGGAATCCGCTTATGTTTACAGAAATATGTGGTCAGGTGTCTACTTTCCAAATTTGAAAATCGCTAAATTTGAAAGCTCGCTAGCACCTTTCTTTAAAAAGTTATAAGCAAATTATCGGACTGTCTTATTCATTGAAAACGATAGTAGTCTATATAATCTTTCGGTAGATTTTTCTAGTAGAACTAAAAACGTTAGTTTTGACTTGTTCGCTAGATGCACGTCTGAATGTTTGTTGAACAGAGGATCATTATCACCTCCATTTCAAGTGTAATAACTAGCGATCGTTCGTACGATAGAAGTCTTTACATTAATCCTCTTTTCGCCCATATAGCATGAGGCATTGATAATCTGACTGAGACATTCCAGAGAATTTTGTACCTATCAGCATACGCCCTAGTGATCGATTCTTACCAAAGAATCTGATAGGAATCCGATAAGAAACGCATAACAATCCGCTACGACCCGTATAAGAGTCTTATTAGATTCTTATTGAATTCTTACATAAGACGTCCGCACAAAAGTGATAAGAATTTGATAAAAAGCAAAAAAGGATTAGTTAAGTCCCCTGCTCTTTAGTAAGATAAACAGGAAGCCTATTATATAAAAACGACTTCAGAATAAAAAGCGAAGCTTGAAGTTTCTTCGCAGTAAAAATAAACAAATTTGAACTAGCATATAAGTGAGAAACAAAAGAACAAGAATCCTAGCATATAAACAAGTGCTCAATCATCACATGCATTCACAACTACCTGCCTAGAACAACTATCTTTTACATGAGGTTCCTTGCTACAGACAGCTTCTTCTCAACTCTGACACGGTCAGGATGTCCTGATGGAAGCAGCTTTTCACAAATCTTCAAGCATCTTCCAAAACACTGTACCGCACGATCCTACTCGCCTTTGCTAGCATATACAGAGCCAATACTATTCAGACTACTAGCAATATCTGGATGATCAGATGGCAAACAATTTTCTTGAATCTTGAGACATTTCGAATAATAGTCCAAAGCACGATCATACTCGCCTTTACTCTTATAAACCACACCAATATTATTCAGACTATCAGCAATATGTGGATGATCAGATGGCAAACAATTTTCTCTCATCCTGAGACATTTCGAATAATAGTCCAAAGCACGTTCATACTCGCGTTTGTTGTCATAAACATTGCCAATATTATTTAGACTATCAGCAATATGTGGATGATCAGATAGCAAACATTTTTCTTGAATCTTGAGACATTTCGAATAATAGTCCAAAGCACGATCATACTCGCCTTTGCTACCATAAATATTGCCAATATTATTTAGTATTCTAGCTGATGAAAATAAAAGCGACGGGGTAAGTGTATTTATTCCAGTTGAAAAGAGAATGATGCCGAAAAGTATTTTGCTTCCATGAGATCAAACAGCATACTGTCGTCTTTTCTCTGACAAACAAAGGGAGAACAGGCGAATAATGAATACTCTCAACTTCACTGTTTGTCGTGATTTCTTGTATATTTCTCTGATGCATAGAACATTTCATTCCATCCATCGCTTTGAAAATATATTAACGGTAATTGAGCACAAGTTTCTTGGTACATTGAGTCATGGTCATAAACATTAATTATAAGACATGTCAATGAACATGTTCTCAGACGAGAAGTAATTTGAAGTTTTGAATAAAGATTAAATAAAAATTACGAAATTAATTCACATTAATTAAAAGGAGGAAAAGTCAAAATTATCTTTAGTTAATCTTTTCATGAAAAAATTAATTTCTCTTAGAATCAAATCAGAGAGAGTTTTTATTAACTCGGTGCAAACTAATCCTTAATGTCAAACTGATTTGAAACCTGAATTGATTTGAATAAATGCTTTTAGAAACCTATTTCTGTCACAGATTTCATCTGAATGAATTGAGGAGCAATTTCAGAATTTCCAGAAAATCTTTCAAAGCAAGTGGCCACTTTGGTTTCGAAAACATTGAAATTAATTCAAATTCGTTTCTCCCTAATTAGTTTACATCAGTTCGGGAGAAAAGATTAATCTTAATTGATTTCAGATTGGAAACTATTCTAAACAAATATATTATTAATCGATTTAAATGGACTAGTTCTTATAAATTGATCTGCAATAATTGAAAATAGAAATTAGTTTAGTTTCTTTGGCATAATTTGAATTGCTTTGAGAGCATAGATTCATTTAAATGAACTCCTGAATTCATTAGAATTGAAGAAGTAATTTGCATCAACTTGAAAATAGGAGTTCATTTAAATCAATCTGTAAGGCTTCATTTGATCGAGGTGCGATGTTACTAATTGTTCTTGTCTCGGTAAACATTAAAGCTAATTCATGTTGTTGGTAGATGTAAACAGTTTCAAGAAAGAAAACTGACGATCGACCTCTGACAAAACATTAATGCTGTTCGACGATTTGAACCATTTTAACCCTTTCGGTCATTTTAACTTTTTTTAACTATTTAGACGATTATGTCTGTTTTCACTATTTAGCCTAGTTTGAGTGTTTCGACTATTTAGACGATGTTGATCAATTTGATGGTTTTGACTACTTTGATCAGAGACGTAATTTTCGCAGAGGCAAAGTTTCGTCTGCAGAAAGGGCACAACTACATAATATAAGAAACATGAATTCCAAAGAAATCATATTAATCATATTAATCTGATAAAGAGGTGCCCGTCACCAGGTTTGAATCTTGTGCATTTTTAAATTGTCGGTTTTACTAAACGCTTGATCTCGGCTACAGCTACGAGACAGAGTAACAAAAGATTCTGTAGAATAGGGGTTTCGTACGGTGCCATTTTCAAATTTGGCATAGTGCCCAATTATCTCCCATCTTTGGTTTATAAAAATAAACGATATAAGTACTTACAACAGAAGAAAAACCTACGATGAGTCTCCAAGGAAAAATTACAT